AAAAAAAAGTCTTAGGGGTCCATGCTCTAAACCCAACTGGAAGTCAGCCATTTTGAATTTTGTATGAATTTCTAGTGTCGTTTTTGCAATTTCCAGGTGCTGTGTATGATGGTCACAGAAATGCATGGCCGCGTCAACCAAAGTCCTACCAGTACCCTTGACGTGCGTGAAGTTGCGAGGGCCCGATCAATGCTGCTCGCAGCTTTAATTAAGGCTTATTTTTTGTAACTATTGTGACGTCCACACAGAAACTGTAAAGGAACAAAAGTATAAATGTACGACAGACTTCAGCCTCCAGCAGAGCTCCGAGTGAGAGACGTGTGTTGATCACATTTATTGTTGGAATGCTGTTAAGCATTCCAAGTATTGTTATCCTATTCTTTATTCAACTATTTCTTCCGTACGTTTTCTTGACCTCTTCTACTTCTGCATTTTTTAAGCTACAGAAACCATTCAACTATCAAAATGTTCAGCTCTTTCAGCTCATGCCGGCTATATCTCTTCATATTTCTAATCTTTAAACTTTTTGAATTATTAAGCTTTTTATCCATATTTTGGCACTCAGACTCCTGCTAATTTGTTAAAAGGAGGTTTTGTTCAAAATCACTGTTTACTGCAATGTTTCTTAATCAGTCTGCCTCTAACACCAGGTGCGTCCTCACCATGGCAACCAGTTACACACAGTCTCTCGCTCTCATCCCACCCTTTCAAAATAAAAGCCCCATGGATTAACTGGATTAAACTCAAAATTAGGCTTTTTTGTTGAAAAAAATGAATGCTCTTACTAATACTGCGACTACTGCTGCTGCTAATATAGTATTACTATTACTGCTACATCAATATTATTACTACCACTGTTACTTATACTACTACTACTGCTATTCATGCTACTACCAGTACTAATACTACTACAGCTATTAGTACAACTGCTACTATTACTACTACTACTTCTACTACTGTTATATTAAATACTACGACCACTACTACAGCTATTACTACGACTACTGATACTACTACTTCTTCTAACTAATAATACTTCTATTACAACTACAACTTCTACTACTACAAATATCACCACTGATGAAACTTTTTAAGCCACAGAAACCGTTCGAATATCAAAATGTTCAGCTCTTTCAGGAGAGGTGTGATATGAATCATATTTGTAATCTTTAAACTTTTTGAACTTTTTTTTGAATTGGATATCTATTTTCAGCAATGTTTTTGCAATTCCTTTCAGCATTCCAACGCATTTTCAGCAGGAAATGCATTTTCTAGTTGATCATAATCTAGTAAACCAGTATGTGTGAGTTAAAATAAGATGTACTTTATTGTCCTGCAAGGACCTTTGTTCTGAGAGAGATAAGGACCTGAAGCGTTGTAATTAAATGAAACCTCTAAATCTTTCCACGAACTGTGTCTGTTTGAGCTTATAGAGGAATTAAGTATCGAACACGACCTTTCACTGTTTGAGACTACTATAGTAATCTGTTGTATTTTCTGTAACTAAGCAACCAATCTACTTCCTGTTTACACCGGCACCATCGCGCCCGGTGTACGTAAAGGGTCGCCTGATGTTTGTTTTCAGGCCCGTTAGTCTGGACGTAGATCATTTAGAAAACGATGCTGTATTAGTGTGGTTGTAGCCTAAATTTAAACACATTCAGCTGTGGTGGGTTGACCTTTGACCTCTACCTGATGTCACTTCCTGTGCAGGTCAGAGATCTGTTCGTCATGGCGAGGAAGAACGCTCCCTGCATCCTCTTCATCGACGAGATCGACGCCGTGGGACGGAAGCGAGGACGAGGAAACTTCGGAGGACAGAGCGAGCAGGAGAACACGCTGAACCAGCTGCTGGTGGAGATGGACGGTGGGTGACGACGATTGCCTTTCAGGCTGCGTTAGTCCCGCCCCCAGGTGCTGATGGCTCTCTAGTGTCCACCAGGGGGCGACTCCTCTGGTTGTATAGAAGTCTATGAGAAAATGACTCTACTTCTCTCTTGATTTATTACCTCAGTAAACATTGTAAACATGAGTTTATGGTCTCAATCTCTAGTTTCAAGTCTTCTTCAATACAGCATGATGTTCATTTAGTACATTATGGTCCATTTAGAGTCAAACAGACCATAAAGCAGCGGATGCTTTAGGGCGGGGCTACACAGTGATTGACATGTCTCTAATATTAAAGACGTGCTCTTCATTAAAGGTTGCAGTCATGTGATCTTCACGTCTCACTCTTCTCTGGGCTTTAGGGTTCAACACGGCGACCAACGTCGTGGTTCTAGCAGGAACCAACAGACCCGACATCCTGGACCCGGCTCTCATGAGACCCGGACGCTTCGACAGACAGATCTACATCGGTGAGGAACGATGGATAGCTGAGTCTGATCTATCGTTCCTAGAATAATAAGAACTTTATTAGTGCATGAAAACAATATAAACCATTTGTTTCTGTGTCTCAGGTCCTCCTGATATCAAAGGTCGAGCGTCCATCTTTAAAGTCCACCTGCGTCCTCTGAAGCTGGAGGTGGACTTGGACAAAGACGCTCTGGCCAGGAAGATGGCCGCCCTCACACCTGGATTCTCAGGTAAACACGCCGCGTGAATTCACCCTTCCATCAAACCGCCGAACCCTCGACCTCACTGGGTTTCCTCTCCCTGCTCTCTGTCTGTCAGGTGCCGACATCGCCAATGTCTGCAACGAGGCGGCGCTGATCGCCGCTCGCCACCTTTCAGACGCCATCAACCAAAAGCACTTTGAGCAGGCCATCGAGAGAGTGATCGGAGGTGAGAGCTGAGCTAGTATAACAATCATCAGTAAAACTTTATTCGCACTGTGATGGCGCCACGCAAAAAGCGCCACGTTCTGATGGAGTCCCGTCGGTGACCGTGTCTGTGTTGCAGGTCTGGAGAAGAAGACTCAGGTCCTGCAGCCGGAGGAGAAGAAGACAGTGGCGTATCACGAGGCCGGTCACGCCGTGGCAGGATGGTTCCTGGAGCACGCCGACCCTCTGCTGAAGGTCACGCTTCCTGTTCTTCCTCCTCGTACAGGTTCATGATGTCATGCTACCGTAATACCCATGAGCCTCAGCTGCTGTGGTGAAAGCGGGTGAGCGTTTGATAGCTGATCGTGTGTGACGGAGCATGTTGTTACCTGTGCAGGTGTCCATCATCCCCAGAGGGAAGGGTCTAGGTTATGCTCAGTACCTCCCCAAAGAGCAGTACCTGTACACCAAGGAGCAGCTGCTGGACCGCATGTGTATGACTCTGGGAGGCCGAGTCTCCGAGGAGATCTTCTTCGGACGGATCACCACTGGAGCTCAGGACGACCTCCGGAAGGTCACGCAGAGCGCCTACGCACAGGTCAGAGGTCACGTAGAGACGTCCACTCACGGGTTAGAGGTCACGTAGAGACGCCCGCTCACGGGTCAGAGGTCACGCAGAGACGTCCGCTCACGGGTCAGAGGTCATGCAGAGCGCGTATGCACAGGTCATGAACGGTTTCATTGACACTGAATAAGTGAATTGTTTCTACTGAAGCAGTGTTGATTAAGTGTGACAGCAGCAGAAGGAAGGAGCTGGTTTCTCTCCTTCACACCACGAGTGAAGCAGCCTCACAGAAGAAGCTCTTTATTAAACCTGCATCAAATAGAATTATTGTTCCTGTTCCTGTCTGACCTCCTGGTTTCTGCTGCAGATCGTTCAGTTCGGGATGAATGCGAAGGTGGGTCAGGTGTCCTTCGCCCTCCCCCGGCAGGGTGAGATGGTTCTGGAGAAACCGTATAGTGAAGCCACGGCTCGTCTCATCGACACCGAGGTTCGAATTCTCATCGCCGAGGCGCACCAGAGAACCCACCGACTGCTGAGTGACAAGAGGCCCGAGGTGGAGAAGGTACCGAGATGGTTCTGATGCTGTTTTTTGTTCTACATACATGTGATAGAAAGGGGGCAGGCAGAACCCAGATGAGCAGGGTTCTAGGTCATTCTCCATCTGATGGAACCAGCACTGACTGGTAGAACCCTTTCCTCCAGATCAGTGTTCTGACCCTGTTCTGTGTTCCCGCTTCATCCTGCAGGTGGCGCTGCGGCTGCTGGAGAAGGAGGTTCTGGATAAGAGCGACATGGTGGAGCTGCTGGGAAAACGTCCGTTTGGAGAGAAGTCGACGTACGACGACTTTGTGGAGGGAACCGGAGGCATGGACGAGGACACCACGCTGCCGGAGGGTCTGAAGGACTGGAACCAGGAGAGGAAGGACAAGGAGGAGAGCCCGGAGGAGCAGGTCGCCCGCCAGATCTCTGGAGGAATGCCTTTCTAGAACCCTGTGATGGATTCTGACCCATCACCCTCGCATGTATCTCAAATATCATCCACTCCTCGAATACAGCTTTTCTTTGAGCCACCATCCTTTACCGACCCACCCACCAGAACTTTGATTATCGAGGGTTCTCCATCTTGGTGGCGGAGAATCCCTCTCACTGACCACCTCATGGTTCTAGAACCTCGTGGAACCATCACACAGAGTTTATAAACTCTTGAGTTGTAACAGCTGTTGAATAACCGAGTCTAAAGCCTTCATTAAGAGGAACAGGACTGTCAATACATTCTACAGGTGAACAGATCAGTCATAACAATAAGATGCTACATCACGTACACAGAAAACACGTTTCATGTTGTGATATTTACTGGAAAAGATACGATACAGTCGACAGCCATTGTTCCACTGCAAGCTTTCAGAGAGCAACAGGAATCAGTGGAACCCGAGCGTCTGACTCATAGAAACCCGCTCACTGAGTAAACTAGGACCAGCTCTGACTCCTAGAACCTTCTCACTGAGTAAACTAGGACCAGCTCTGACTCCTAGAACCTGCTCACCGAGTAAACTAGGACCAGCTCTGACTCCTAGAACCTGCTCACTGAGTAAACTAGGACCAGCTCTGACTCCTAGAACCTGCTCACTGAGTAAACAAGGACCAGCGTGACTCCTAGAACCAACTCTGACTCCTAGAACCTGCTCACTGAGTAAACTAGGACCAGCTCTGACTCCTACTGTCATTGAGATCTAGAACATTTCTCTGGGTTCTACTTTTACTTAATCTCCGAGCTGTAGAACCCTGTTTCAGGTTCTAGATGTGGATTCTTGAGTTTTCTGGTTCCAGGTGGTCCCTCAATAGAAGTTGTGGTGGAGTTCTCCTTAGAACCACCGATGGGTTACCGGTCAGTTATTGGTCAGTTCCTGGTCAGGTCCTGGTCAGTTCCTGGTCGGTTATTGGTCGGTTATTGGTCGGTTATCGTTCGGTTGTCGGTCGGTTGCTGGTGGGTTGCTGGTCAGTTGCTGGTCAGTTACTGGTCACCTGTAATATGATGTGTAACAATAATGTGTATATGTGTTCTTTAGTCAAATGTTTTAATCATTTGAACAAAGTCAGAGAAATAAATCAATCTATCAACCGTTTGACGCGCAAAGCTTTATTTAAACGGTTTACATTTAGTGTTAAATAAAAGAACATTTAACGTATATTTTGATGCTTTTGTAATATCAGTTACGCAGCTTTTTGAATGCAGGACTTTTACTTGTCAGAGTATTTCTACACTGTGGTATTAGTACTTTTACTGTAGTAACAGACGCAAGTTTCTGTCCATAAATCCTGCAGTCTTTTATTTTGAAGCCAGTCGTACAGGAAGTGTCGTATGGCGGAAGTGCAGAGCTGAGACACAAACATGATAAATATAAATCTATAAGATATAAAATGTGTTTTTAGTCTAAAGGAGCAGCTGCTGAAGGATATATATGTATGTATGTGTATATATGTATGTATGTTTGTATGTATATATGTATGTTTGTATGTATATATGTGTGTGTGTGTGTGTATGTATGCGTGTGTGTGTGTGTGTGTATGTATGCGTGTGTGTGTGTGTGTGTATGTATATACGTGTGTGTGTGTGTGTGTATGTATATA